GTTTATATGCATGACGAACATTTATCGGATTAAGACTTTCGCCTAATCAAATAACGTTTTCTGCACGCTATGTTCCATAACATCTTTTTCTATATTCGTTTTGAAATCGACGTCCATCGTAGTGTTGAAATTTCATGCGCCAAAAGCAATATCATGTTATTCATAAAATCTGTAATATGTTCGCACTTAATACTTCATTGGTAGTCTTGGCAAAGTCAATGTCTATTGACCTTAATTTTTCTTATAAAAATTGCCATTTTTCATTTAAGTAATTCAAAAGAAATATGACGGAATTGAAGTTCGCTTTATTTGCTTGTTGCTACGCTACGGCATTCAGGGATGTCGCATTGTCACAGGAGTTTCTTTTATGAACAAAGAACGACTAAACACTCTTATCGGTTAACAAAAATGTTTACGATTTCAAAATGAATATAATAATTAAGTAGAAATTGAACATCGTGTCGTAAAATTTTGGTCTGAAATCAAACCAGGTATGATCGACAAGGTGAGTGTCATTTTCAAGAGAAAATAGAATCAAGGTTCAACCTAGTATAGTTCTTAATATGAAAAATAACGTACCAGAGAAATGGCTTCAGCAATATGTTAATAGCCGAAAGACCATGTAACTTTTCAACTCAGTCTCGTGTTTGAAAACTTTGCCTAAAATATATATTATACTTAGTCATAGATGAAATGCAATTATATAGGCCTAGTTACATCAAAGACAATTTTACTCTATTTTGGCATAATTATATACAACTATATTATGCAGTACCTAGTCTGAAGAAAGTTAACCAGGGTGTCTAAGTTGCCCCCACCTTATTTTGTAGTATCACTATGTTAGCATTATAATAGAAGCTTTGGTAACAGATGGAATGAATATATCATAAGTTATCATTTGATTTCAATCTACTAACAGAAGTACAGTTCACATAATTCATAATTTTGGAAATTATGCATTAATTCCCTATAATATTGAAACAGCTAAAATTTAGACGTAGTATTTAGAGGTAGTAATATAATTAGTGGAATCATGACATATGACACTTCAATAAAGTTTCTAACTAACTAAATTCCCAGTTTTACATTACGAATTCGATGGGATACGAAAGAATCTAAAATCTTAGTAATTCACACAAAGAGAAATTCTTCTTAAAATTCTGTTAAATTAGAAAATAATTAACTGACAACAAATTTACAACGCTATACAGTACGAGGCAAAATCTAGCTTGACATACTGCATGCAGAAAGTTTCATATTACCATAAATATATAATTGTACTGCCCACTTATAATTGTAGCTAGTTCAAAATCTTCAGATCGCTTTAAATTAACTCAGTTGATTTAGCCCTGCACCGTGATCGCAGGATCGATTCCTGCCATGCATTCTGGTTAGGTCTAAAATGTATAAAGTTTACATTCAAAATTTCCATCTACAAAAACACTTCAACATTTAGTTTTAATGCTCAAGATCCTGATGTAAATCCCAATATTTGCCCAGATCGTTAACCATACATAATTAATAACAAGTCAGACTTCTTAACGGTTTAATTATGACACATTCATTTAATTAACAAGACTTTTGCCTAACGTTCCCAGGTTGGTACACTGCAGGGCATGTTCGATAACAATTGAAAATGCTATCATGCAGTCTTCAAAATCGTCTACAATTGACAAAGTAAATGCCATTTTCAAGAGAGAGCAAAATCAAGTCTCAACCCAGTAGTTCTTACGCAAGTTACCAAGGAAATGGCTTCAGAAATATTCTATAATTACCCAAAGACCATGTAACTTTTCAACTTCTCGTGCCATGTAGTAGTATGCAGAAAGTTTCATTGATATTACTATATAGATATATAGTATATTGTACTATATATACACGTTGAATCGTTGATAATACCCAGCCCTGCGGCCCCTGCCCATTTATAATGGCAGCTAGTTCAAAATCTTCAAATAGCTTAATTAACTCAGTTGGTTTGGCGCGGCATCAGAATCGCAGAGTTACATGATCGATTCCTGCCAAAGGGCCTATATATAAGTTCTTTGAATGTTTGCATGGCGATAAAATATAATTGTTTTTGTTTGTGGAAACACCACGTAAATTTATTACTGCAAAGCTTTCGATCCGTAAGCCCGGATCTTCATCAGTACTAATAATATGTAACTTGTTTAATTCACACGCCCTTTTTATATACAAAAGTGTCGTGATCTGTTGGCTCGCGTCATTTGAAATTTAATTAAACGGTACATCAACCACGTCATTTCAAACGTAGTGAAGTGATTCCAATTAACGCGCGTTAATTGGAATCACTTCACTACGTTTGTAATGACGTGGTTGATCTGCCGTTTAATTAAGTTTCAAATGACGCGAGCCAACAGATCACGACACTTTTGTATATAAAAAGGGCGTGTGAATTAAACAAGTCACATATTATTAGCACTGATGAAGATCCGGGTTTACGGATCGAAAGCTTTGCAGTAATAAATTTACGTGGTGTTTCCACAAACAAAACTATTATATGTTTTATCGCCATGCAAACATACAAAGAACTTAATGCTGAACAATATTGTTAACATTCGTGAACAATAGGTTGCAACTAATATTGTTGCAACCTGTTTTTACTGGTCAGTATATATGCATGCTAATTAGATTCATGTATATAAGGGTTGTTTTTGTAACATAATAGACAGACTAAGAACATAACATGGTGTCATGATGGAGCCGTTTATGAAGCCTCCTTTAGAGATGAACTTTTCAACAACTGAACAGTTGTCGTTATCCGAAAGATGGAGACGATGGAAGGAAACTATGCAGTTATATCTTGGATTAAACATGTCTAAAGCCAGCGAGAAAGAACAATGTGCGGCGTTCCGGTATGTGATCGGACAAGACGGACGAGACATTTATAACACAATGAAGTTTACAGAGGCTCAAACGGACAAAATCGACGTGTTATTCGCGAAGTTTGACGAGTATTGTGAACCCAGAAGAAACACGATTATAGAAAGATACAAGTTTAATACGCGAGTGCAAAGAGACGACGAAACAGCCGATCAGTACGTAACTGAACTTAAATTGCTCGCTAAGAATTGCAACTTCGGGACCGCGTTGTTTACGGAATAAAATCGGAGCGTGTGAGAGAACGGTTATTACGAGAACGAGAGTTAACGTTAGATAAAGCGTTTATAGAAGTATGTCAAATAAACGAACAGTCTGAGGAACAACTAAAAGTACTAAACGATGTTCAGAGCGTCAAGGCCATAGGAAAACATAACAAATCAGGAAATTATCGTAGCAAATTAGATGCAAATCGAAAGCGTCATTTCAAGCATAACGGCGGCAACAAACAAGAACAAGTATCGTGTTGCGGAAAGTGCGGAAAGTCTCATCCTGCAAAAGAATGCCCAGCTTTTGGTAAGAAATGTTTTAAGTGTGACAAAAAGAATCATTTCGTTAAATTCTGCAAGTCAAAGAAAATACATGCAGTAGACAAAGCGAGTACAGATGACGAACCGTTGTTTATTGGAGCGGTTAATTCAATTCATAACGAAGAGAATGTTTTCAAAACTTTATCAATCGAGGGAAATGAGATCAAGTTCAAGATTGACACGGGAACACAAGCCAATATAATACCACTACCTACATTCGAGAAGATGAAGCTGAAACAAACCCGGTTAGAAAGACCAACAGCAAAGTTAACAAGTTACACTGGCGATTATCTACCGGTCGTCGGAGAATGCAATCTGAAATGTAACAACAAGACATTGAAATTTTTCGTGGTGAAAACTGGACAAGTTCCCATCATTGGTTTGAAAGCTTCTCAAGAACTGAATCTGATCAAAATCATCATGAATGTGAACAATGTGATTGGTCAATCAGCAGAAACCATTCATGAGATATTTCCTAAAGTATTTCAAGGTTTGGGATGCCTAAAGAATCCATACCACATCGAAGTCGACCCTACGATTATACCTGTCGTTAGTCCTTTAAGAAGTACACCAGTTGCGCTCAGAGAGAGGCTGAGGTCTTCGCTAGACGATATGGAAAAAAGGGAGTCGTGGAGAAAGTCGATGGTCCAACCGAGTGGGTGAATTCGACAGTGATTATAGAGAAGCCAAACAGTGACAAACTACGAATTTGTCTTGATCCGAGACCACTAAATGAAGCTATCAAGCGAGAACACTTTAAGATGCCAACAATAGAGGAAATCACGACGCGTGTGGCCGGAGCCAGAGTATTCTCCAAACTGGACGCAAATCATGGCTATTGGCAAATACTACTAGATGAAGAGAGCCGATTGCTGACCACATTCAACACACCATTTGGTCGTTACTGTTATAAAAGGATGCCATTTGGAATCACGTCTGCGCAAGAAGTATTCCAGAAACGAATGTGTCAATCCTTTGGAGATCTCGAAGGCGTGGAAACAGATGTTGATGATATTTTGGTTTGGGGAGCCACAGTCGAAGAGCACGACGAACGTCTGATGAATACCCTACAACGATGTGAAGAGATCAACCTCACTCTCAACAAAGAGAAATGCGAGTTTCGAGTGAAAGAAGTCACTTATATCGGTCACAAGTTAACCCGAGAAGGTGTGAAACCGGATGAACAGAAGGTTAAAGCCATTAAGCAGATGCCCCCTCCCGAAGATAAGAAAGGAGTTGAACGATTGCTTGGTACAGTGAACTATCTAGCAAAGTTTATACCTAACATGTCCACGATAATGCAGCCGATTAGAGAGGTTATGAAAAGTGGCGTGGAGTTTCATTGGGGAGGTGCACAGGAGAAAGCGTTCCAAGAAGTAAAAGAACTACTAACAAAGGCGCCAGTTCTTGCATACTATGATGTGAAGAAACCTGTGACGGTGACGTGTGATGCTTCAAAGAGCGGTGTTGGGAGCAGCGTTACTTCAAGATGACAAACCAGTCGCGTTTGCTTCGAGAGCCCTGACAGATGCGGAAATTCGGTATGCGCAGATCGAAAAAGAACTATTGGCAGTTGTTTTTGCGTTCGAGAAGTTCAACCAGTACACATATGCCAGAGCTGTAAAAGTTGAAACTGATCATAACCCGCTGCTCTCAATTGTGAAGAAGTCGTTAACGTCAGCGCCACCTCGTCTGCAGAGAATGCTATTACGGTTGCAACGGTACGACTTTACATTGAAATACAGACCTGGGAAAGAAATGATCATCGCGGATACACTTTCTCGAGCTTACCTTACCGATGATGATGTGGACAGTAGCAAGATGAACGAAGAGTTAGAATGTTACGTGCACACGGTAACCAGCAGAATGCCAGTATCCGAAGAACGACTGGAACAGATCAAGAAAGAAACAGCGATTGACCAGACCATGAAGACCCTGTTCTCAACAATCCGAAGGGAATGGCCAGAGACAAGATAACAAACACCTTGCGAAATCCATGACTACTGGAATTATCGTGACGAGCTTTCAGAAGTAGATGGAATCTTGTTGATGCAAGACAAGATTATCATACCCCTCAGTATGAGTGGAAAGATGCTAGAAAGAATACACGAGAGTCACATGGGCATAGAGAAATCCAAACAACGAGCCATTATTACATCAAGGGACATTATGTTTTGGCCAAGAATGAATGAGCAAATTGAAGCTGTTGTATCCAAATGCAAAACCTGCCAAGAATACCAGATGTCGAATCCCAAAGAACCCGTGGTGCAAGGAACAATACCATCGAGACCCTGGGAAATGGTCGCAACTGATTTGTTTCAGTGGGAACAGAACAACTATCTGGTCGTGGCAGATTATTATTCGCGTAATATTGAAGTAGTCAAGTTGGAAAACACCACCAGCAGAACTGTTGTGAATCATATGAAGTCCATATTTGCAAGACATGGAATTCCATCAGTTGTAAGAAGTGACAATGGTCCTCAGTACACTGCCATGGAGTACAAGCAGTTCGCACAAAAGTGGAATTTCGAGCACCAGACTTCAAGTCCATATTATCCGAAATCAAACGGTTTGGCTGAGAAAGCAGTTCAAATCGTGAAACGTTTGCTATCGAAAGCAAAACAAGATGGAAAAGATCCGTACCTAAGTTTGTTGGAGTATCGCAACACACCCATTGGTAACGTGGCTTCACCAGCACAAATATTGATGAGCCGACGTTTGCGTTCGCACTTACCAACTACCCCAAATCAACTTCAGCCAAAAGTTGTTGATCCTGAGAGAATGAAAGAAAAGTTCGAAGAAAAACAAAGAAAGCAAAAACGATATTATGACAGAGGGTCCACGGAGCTTCCCGCAGTGCAAGAAGGAGAAGCAGTACGAGTCCAAGTACAGAATAAGTGGAAACCAGCAGTGATCAAAGAGAAACTGGAAACACCTAGATCGTACATCATTCAAACACCCAATGGTCAACGATTTAGAAGAAACAGAAATCATATCAGAAAGCAGAAGTATGGTGTTCAGATATCAAGACAGTGGGAACCAACTGAAAATTTCCAGCCTGATAGTGCCAGAGAAGTTCGTGAGGAACAAGTCTCAGAGCCAAGTACTGAACAATATTATAAAACTAGAAGCGGACGATTGAGTAAGCCACCTGAGAGATATCAAGCATGTTAATTTAGTTAATTAAAGTTATGATGAACATATTATTCACGAGACATTTAGATTTAGATTTAGATTGACTATTAAGTTAAATATATAATGGTTATATATAATGAACATTAGTCGTGAACTAGTATTATTAAGTATTATCATCGAACTTAAAAACTTTAAAATTAAAAAAAAAAGAGAATTGTAATATATTCAGTATATATGCATGCTAATTAGATTCATGTATATAAGGGTTGTTTTTGTAACATAATAGACAGACTAAGAACATAACAAACATTGCAAAACAAGTTCATGATTTTTACGCGTGTATGCAGGAGAGGAAAAACGTTTTTTTCCGATTTAGACACGTGTCCTGACAATTCCCAGGAAATTCCTGTGACACCGGTTTTACATCCAAACTACCAGCCATATGGCAGTGTTAAGATAGTATGCTATCACAAAAAGTTGAGTTCGAAGTTATATGGAGAGAATTGTAGATTACATTATTAATAAAAGATAAACTGTCAGATAAAATTCGTTCTTCGAAAATCTGTGGTTGTCATTTTACCGGGAACTTCTTTCTTACATTTATTCAGTTTTATAGTCAAATTACATGTGTTCGCAATGGTCTAGCAAACAACGATCACATTTCCCCATTTCCGCGTTTTATCCCCATTTCCGCGTTTTATCCCCATTTCAGCGTTTCATCCCCATTTCAGCGTTTTATCCCCATTTCAGCGTTTTATCCCCATTTCAGCGTTTTATCCCCATTTCAGCGTTCTATCCCCATTTCAGCGTTCTATCCCCATTTCAGCGTTTTATCCCCAATTCAGCGTTTTATCCCCATTTCAGCGTTTTATCCTCATTTCAGAGTTTTATCCCCATTTCAGCGTTTTATTCCCATTTCAGCGTTTTATCCCCATTTCAGTTTCGGCTTTCAGTTTCTGTTTCCGCGATTCAGTTTCAGCGTTTTATCCCTACCCCTTAAAATATCGGTCGGTCACGGACATTGGTCCGACCCATTCGTGAAATTGTCCGACGTAGTGAGGAAGCCACCGGACATTCTGTCCGATATAAGTGAAACTGGGGTTTACTGTTTGTCCGACCCGAGTGTATTGGTGTCCGACCGGACTGTAGCTTTGTCCAACGTAAATCAATTCGCAGTAAGGCTCGTATGGTAAATGGAAAATAAAGCCACAATTGAGTATTGTATAAAAAGTAAACTGCATGGAAATGTTGTTTTAACGTAGGCTGATCGAGCGCGGGGCGGCGACGTGCTAGCGAAATGGTGAAGTGGAAAACGGGCTTAAGTTGTCGAAGTCTTACTTCTGTTCTTGCAAGCAAGTTAATTTTGGCTTGGAAATAAGTATGAATGACACAAATTATTTAATATCTTCACAACATTTACCGTTTAGAATTAATACATTGTGCTGATATTCATTTGTGTCATTCAGACTTTAATTTCCGAGTCAAAATTGAACTGAAGGTCATCGGACATATGTCCGACCCAAACTCAACGTCATCGGACATTTTGTCAGACGGCCCTGTAAAACTGGATATTTTAAGTCCTGGTAAAGTGACAAAGTGGTAGCCGGAGACTGAATTTGTTGAAACGGCTGTAGCTAAATAAAAATCGTCCATCGTCCAGGTTTTAGCACAAATGCTAAAACATGGACGATGGACGTCCATCGTCCAGCGTCCGTCGTCCATCGTCCAGGTTTTAGCACATGCCCTGCTCTCATGGTAAACTATATTGTAGAATAACAACAGTGCAACATTACCATATATAGGTCATGATTACATGATAAGTGGCTTCTTGTAATATTTATTTGTAATATCAAAATCGGCATTACTCTCAAGGCTAGCCACAACAATCCATCATTGTGTAATTTTTTGACGGCACTTGGCTTCCCGTTTGAAAGGTTATTTTGCGAGGATTTCAAATTTAATGGTGGCTTTCGTTTAAAAGGGGGGTAAATACTCGCCAAGATATTTACATTGGAAAAATTGAATCGTATAATGTAATGCGAAACCGGGTGATCGAGAAAGAGTTAATTAAACAAGTTTAATAAATCACTACCAGTATCTTACATCAATTCAAAACCCAGGGAAGTGTTCTTGGAATAATTAAAGCCGTAATAAGCTTGAACAACGGCGTAATTTATGTTTGGCGAAAGCAATGTTTATTTATAAATGTCGAGCGGGGTACTGGATCCATCTGTACTGATTATCGTGCAAAATTCGTCGGCGTTTCCCAGAGCCTCAGCAAGCCTCCACAGAGGATGCACGCCAATTAGAAATCCGCGAAATTTTAGCAGATCATGTAACTAGCTCCTACCAGGGTCTTTCCTCAACAAGAGGTAAGAGTCTGAGAACGAGGCTCAGTTGGTGAAAGTGCTGTACCGTATCAGAACCGCGCTTTCGATTCTTACCAGAGGGCCTATACTGTAGTTGCATTTTCCCCCAGGTGCTCCACAACTATTTCTATCGACTGAGATGTTCTTACAAAAACCACGCCAAATTTACGGCGTACAACTTAATATGAATATGATATAAAAGTTTTTAAATTTAATTAATCATTATCTGGAGCTTGTAAAATAGAGACGGAGATTTCTTTGATTCATTTTTAATGTGAAAATGGATTTTGCCGTTGTGAATGGGATTTCAACCAATATTTTCCGCGGCTAGGAATGTGTCACTAACAACAAAAATTCGTACAAATCAGTTAAATTTTGCTGACAAGACGAAATTGAACCCACTCCCCTCTTCGCTACGCGCATTAAAGATGATAAGGATTCCTAGTCAAAGATTGATTTACTAGTCCTGAGCAAAGAGGTTCTTCCATAAGTAATATCCTCACTGATTCCACTCCTGTAGTTAATTTGTCTTCCTAACTTTGGTTGAAAAAATTGAATGGAACAACAATAAATTAAAGAGTAACCCATCACAACACATTGATTTCTTGTATGAGCCAATCAACAGATCAACTGTCGTTCTAAAGATGTAAGCCGGCTTCACACTATCGAAATATGTAAACTGCACCTTATCTTCGTTGGTTCATTGGTTTAACTAGTTCAGCATTGAATACAATATTAGTTTCAAAACCATGTATTTTTATTCAAAACCATGTATTTGGTATTTTTAAATACTAAAAGCTCCAGCGAAACCATCCCTACCCCTGAATATCCCACGAGCCCCACTTTTAAAAGCTCCACCGAGCTCCCTCATAATTACTTTTCGCGAGCAACCCCCGTTATGCTCCACGAGCACCCATTAAACTCCCCCGAATCGACATTTCGTTTATATCCGGTAAGCAATCTTTTAAATTAAAACTTTGCCATTAATATTTGAATCAAATATGATAGATTATGCTCAGCTGAGACAGGATCGGTAACTTTTACATTCGTCGTTAACCCGACCGTCACCCCTAGCGTTAACCCCAACCCAAAACTTTGAGTTAAAACCAACGGCCCTAAACCAAACCCAGAGTTAACCCCAACCCTAACACTAGGGTTAAATAAGGAGTTCTTCCACCCTGAAAATGGTTTAAGCTTAAAGCTTTTGTCATCATGTTTGAGTCAAGACATTCGTGGTTGCCATAGTAACTAAAATAGGCCTTTTTATAGCGTAAAATGAATTCGTACAAGTGAAGAAAGGAATTCGTATAAGGGCTCTCTTGCTATGAATAATGTTGATATAATATCATATATGAATTTCTTTAGTTTAGGTTCAACACATGGGTCTAGATCTGTTACTAATGAATAAACTCTGAATATTTTGGACGAATTGATTCACTATCAATAATAGAAGAATTTTAAATATTTCGCCAAACGCTCAGTAGCTCTTACATATATTAGAATAACTTGCATAAAACAATATAATTGAAAAGTGGATCAATAGAATAAGCCAATCACATACCTTTTTTGCAAATCGAAATCCGTCTTATGTTTTTTAGGTGTTAAACTTTAAACACCTAAAAAAGATATTAGACGGATTTCGATTTGCAAATAAAGAGACAGTGCTTTAACAGTTAGTAAATTAGTAGTCGCGGCTTACATCAATAAATTATCTTTTTTGCAGCCACTTTACTTAGTCAATACTCAATAACGTGTATTCTATAACGTACGTGTTCTCTACTTTAGTCTGGCTCGAAGTTTGATGAGAAACGAATATGAAGATTACATACAGAATACCGTGATCATGAAAGACTAGCTTTTTATGCTCTTAAAATGAACTGATTCGTCTACTGAAAGTATCGTGGTTAAAAAGGATCCATGCATTTAATGTATGGCAACCGTTTTAAATGGATTGCGCAATCTCTTCTCGTACAGTTTTATCAATCATGGAAACATTTTTTCTACTATTTTATTCATTTTATTGTGCAACTTACTATGATTTTATATAGATTTCATGTACAATGTAATGCAATGTAATGTGATGTAAAGTAATGGTCAAAGTGGATTATTGGTTCAATTTATGATTGGTAAATCTACATTTTTATGATGATTAGTTTGTAACGTATTATACAATTACTTTATGGTTTTCGTGTTTGGATGGCCTGATCCAAACACGCGGGAATGTTGCGAGAGTTAAAAGAAAAGCGGTAATCGTTCCATGTTTCGCGCACCAATATAGTAAGCGTTATGTAATGGATATTATAGTGTACTGCAAAGTCAACTGGATACCTCCTGCATATACATATATACACACCCTAACCCTAACCTTATACCTAACCTTAAACCTAATCCTAACCCCTAACCTATAATGGTGCGCGAAACATGGAACGATAACCAGAGAAGCGCGCGAACACGAACCGAAGGCGAGTGATTTTGCGCGCTTTTCTTAACTCGAGCGACATTCCCAAGTGTTTGGATCAGGCCATCCAAACACGGAAACCATAAAGTAATTGTTTTATAAAATAACAACTTCCCCATGTTAAAATTTCACTTTAAAAATTTCAATCTAAAATTTCATTTTAAATTTCCGTGTTTGGATGCCTGATCCAAGCACGGGTTTCGACCAATCAGAGCACGCGTTATATACATGGTATTTTATAAATAGTATTACAAAACAAAGTTAACATATTCATTTCGTGTGAGGAAAAGTTTCAGTTTTAGAAGAATTATAGTGTCAGGCGTTTCTCATGTCTGTCATGCATGCAAGTGAGTATGACTTGCTTCTGCGTAATTTTTTATGGTTTCTCGTCCAATTTGGAAAAACAAACACTCGGGAGTTTTCCAAAGATTTCAAATTGTTTGATTGTCTTGAAAAACGCACCTGTTATGGCTTTCCCACCCAAGGACTATGTAGCTAAGTTAGCTAAAAGCGCTTCGCTGATCCCTCAAGAGATAAAACTGCCTCGCCCCTCTTATGATACCCTAAGTCTATGGGACTTAGATCGGCGAAAAGCTTGCACCCGCACGTCACATCAGCTTGCGTGTTTGAATGAATTCTTAAACCGCCATTTGAAATTTATGCTTGAATGCATATGAGTCAGAAGAACGAGTTTCCCAAACGCTAAACTACATATTCAAATCATAACTATGTACTACAATATCGAAAAGAAAATGATTGAGAGACGGCTGCTGAATAATTGGATATAAACATTAAATTAAAGCTGTCAACGAAGCGGCTTTATCCGAAATTGTAAGATATGTAGAGGATATTACACGGCGGCGCGAAGATATAACTTTTATCTTCGAGTGGTGTAAACAATATTTTATGAACGAGCGCAGCGAGTGAGTAAAATATTGTTTTTAACACGAGAAGACAAAAGTCATATCTTCAAGCCACCGTGCAATGTTCTGTTTATTATATAGTCCCAAGCATAAAATTGTATAAATACTAAAAGTCACGTGATCGATATCTTCACTTGTGAAGATATGGAAAATATCTCACTGTGTATTTCTCAGGATCTCACTCTCTACTACATAATAAAAACATATATAAAGAGCACGTACTATATCAATTTACATGGCGAAGTTATGATATCAATCTTGCGGAAATATATTGCCTGATGCCGTAAAATTTTT